AAACTCAAAACCAAACAATAGATGAAAGGCGCGAGACCTGCGCTCGAGTCCTCTCGGCCGAGACTCGACTCCAGCAGAAGTCTCGAGTACAACTCATGCAAACGTCGGGAAGCGTTGCGCGCGAACTGACAATTGAAATGGGTTTAAGTTTTTGAAAACAGTTTTCACTCAAAACCTGAAAATCTTTTGAAGAGTTTTCGAAACTTTGTTTCAATTCTTCGGAAATTTGTGGAAAAAAACGCGAAAAAACTTTTCGAGAAATGTTTCCAAAACTTATCGAAAACTAAACGAAAAAAACAATTAAAAGTTTTTCATTGAAATTCATTGAAAACCTCTTCTCTTTGGCTCTCAATGAAGAGCAAGACGTCGTTTCGACAGTCGCGAGACGTGAGGCGCCATCTGTTGAGCACGTGATCCACAAACGCTTCTTCGGATCTAAAAATAGTCCAAAAGTGAGTTCAAAGCAAACAAACCCTGAATTCGCACTCAATTGTTGTCTCCTCGCGAAGCGTCTGTTCGGCGAACGCCACGCCCACCACCAGAGGGCGTTCCCCACACGCCATGAGCGCCGCCTCTTCGGGTCTCTCGCGCGCCAACAGTTCGGCATTGAATGCGTTCATGAGTTCCGGGCGGTAGAGGGCGTCGGGATCGCAGACGCGGATTTGCTCTTGAGAAGCGTTGCGCAGACACAGCGCGGGCACGAGAGTGGCGTACTCCTCGGCCTTCCACGGCCAGCGAGGGATCAGTTCGGCGGCCGAAGAGTGGAGAGAAGAGAATGTGAGGAAAATGGCGAAAAAGAGCGCAAAAGACATGAAAACGAGTTTTCGTTTGAAATTCAAAGTGTTTTGAACTGAAAGTAAAATAAACAAAAACTGAACGCAAGTCTAGACTCTCGCGCTGTTATATAGCAACACATTATTGACTGAAAAACAAGTGTTTTTTGAAATATTTATTCAGTTTTTGACTAATTTTTGATTAAATTTCTGACAAAAGAGAGAAAAAAAGAGAGAAAAACCAAAACTAAAGTCCAAAACACAGAAAGTCCGCCAAAAANGACTAATTTTTGATTAAATTTCTGACAAAAGAGAGAAAAAAAGAGAGAAAAACCAAAACTAAAGTCCAAAACACAGAAAGTCCGCCAAAAAGAGCCGTGAGTTCGGCTGAAGAGCGCTTTTGGACGCGATTCGCGGGAAATGCGAGTCTTTGTCGACGAATGCGAAGAAATGTCTGATTTTTTGGTTCAAAAAAGTCCGAAATTGTGGACAAAAAGTGAATATTTTGTTCGCAATTCTGTTCGGAGAGAAAAATGCGTTAAAAATGGAGAAATTGTTGAGAAATTCAAACCTTTGGACACTTTTTGAGACACTTTTGGAACGAATTTTCGGAAAAACAATTGCTTTTCGAACAAAAGGCGAGATTTTCGAATTCGGGGAACAAATGGACATTTAGTCCGCTTTCGGGAATGCACTGGCAGTCAATGAACAGTAATTCCCGCAAACAGTGTTGAAAGCATTCATTCCGCGATTCCACTCTTTGTTCGCAATTCTCTTCCAATTGTTCCGCAATTAAAGTCCAAAACCTGAGTTCGAGCCCAGAGTCGAGCGAGAGCTCCAGTTTGGCCGCACTCTCGTCCGCAGTCTCGCCATTGGAGTGGATTTGGAGCAAAATATTCGAAGAAAAATCGGCGAAAATCTGGATCTCGTTTTCGAACTCGAAGTGAAGACAAAGAAATCGGTTTTCGAAAAGAGATTTCCGTTTCGCTCCACAGATGGCGTCACTGTCTTCGCGTTCGCATCGCGTTTGCGGCGAATGAGACAAAACCTCTCTTAGCGTCGAATTAGCGGTGATTTGAGTTCGAAAACAAACGGCGAGAGAATTGAGAGAATCTTCTTCACGCGAGAAACGCATTTCCGGTTCGGAGAAGAGAAGAATGGACTGAAGAACGAAACCGTTGACACAGAGAACGATTGCGAGGACTTTGAAGACATTAAAAACGTGGAAATAATCGCAAACAAAGGAAACTATTTCCGACTTTTCGTCCGATTCTTCGCTTCTGTCTTCGCTTTCGTCCAAAACCTCGATTTCTTCGTAGTCTTTGTCTCCATTCGAGTTCCGCTCCTCTCCGTCGACGTCTTCTTCGTGTTCGGCGAACAGCAGTTCCCTTATAGTCGTCCAGCGCTCGAGTTTCGGTCGCTTTTGGCCGAAAGTCTCTGTTTTGGTGACCGAAAGCACGTCTTCTTCGGCCTTGTATTCGATGAGGAAATGGACGTCTTTTTCGGGGGTTTTTCGCAACAAAATGGGTTTCGAGTCGAAAATAATTTCGGAAATTGTTTGCATTTTTCTATTTCTATGGAAATAATCTCTGATTTCAAAAACTATTCATTCGTTTAGCGATTGTTTGGTTTTCCATTCAAACGCTTTCTGCAAATGAAAACCAATAATCAATACAAGCGTTGATGACGTCACCAATACTGACGTCCGTCTCGCGGGCGCCCAACTCTTTCGAGATGTCCTTCTTCACGGGCTTCAGACTGCCCTTCATGTCCAGTTTGGCCAACTTCATGGTCCACTGCCGCATCTTCTCCAACTGCGTCGCCGTCTTCGAGATCTTGTTCAGCGGCGGGATTATACTGCGGGAGAGACAGGATTAGTGACGTCACAGCCGTGAACACCGCACTCACAATCTCCCCCTGACGTCATTCACTTTGGCCGACAATTCGTTGATCTATAGATAAAGAGTGACAAGAAATGCGACAAAAAGCCAACAAAAAACCTCGTATTCTTTGCCAACAGTTTCCACTTCGAGATCGAACTTCTTTTCGTCCAAAAACACAATCCTTTTGTGATATTCTTCGCAAATTGCGATCAATTCTGACAAAGAAACACAATCAGTGTCTGAATCCCAAGAGATTCTGATTCCAAACCTGATTGCTCGCAGATCTCCTTCACGTTCTTCGGAACTCCGGTTCGCTCTTCGATAATGCGCTTCCTTTCTATGGATTTCAACTCCTGTTCTCTCTTCAGCTCTTCGGCCGCTTTCTTGCGCAACAATTGCTGCCAAAGAGAGAGAAGCATTACTTCCTGATTCCCTTCACTCTAACCAACCCTGAGTTTCTTCTTGCGCTCGGGAGTCATGAATCCCTTCTTCTTCGCGGACTTCATCTCCGCCTCCAACCGCTGCCGCAGTTCCGCTCTTTTGCGCTCTTTTTCGTCCTTTCATTCAAAAAGCGTTAGAAATATATGTGAACATGAAATTCAAATTCAAACCATTTAATCGTTGTTTTGCGCGAGAAGTGAGAGAAATATGAATATGAATTGACAGCACTTTCTCTTTTATACTCTTCTCTTCTCTACTATTAATATCTTTTCGACAAATACTTTATTAATTGCTTCGCTATTGTTGTCGTCAAAGCGTGACAATAATTAAGACAGAAATAGATTCAAAACTCGTTTTATTATTCATTAAAATTTGAAAATGCGTTTAAATTCGAAAAGCATTTCAAACAAAGGGTTAAATGTTATCTCAAACTCAAGGATTAGTTCTCGTCTACTGCTTGCCGGCCACCCAGTCGGGCTTCTTCGCGGCGTCGGTGCCGCCCAGGTCGATCTCCTTCTTCACCGGCTTCAGACCGCCCTTCAGGTCCATCTTCGCCAACTTGTACGTCCACTGGCGCATCTTCTCCAACTGCGTCTGATATTTCGAGACCTTCTTCAGCGGCGGGATTATACTGGAAAGGAGATAATCCGTTAATCCCTAATCCCAACCCAAACTAATCCAACTCACAATTTGCCTCTCATGTCGTTCACTCGCGACTGCAAGTCATTGATCTGTGAATGAGAGAAAATTACTTGACCTCTGACCCCACACCTGACCCCTCACCCCTCACCTCGTACTCCTTGATGCACGTGACCAGCTCCAGGTCCCACTTGTCCTCGTTGAGTCTGTAGATCCGGTTGTAGTACTCTTTGCAGATCGCCATCAGAGTGGCTAAACACAAACAAACATTAGACACTGACCGCTGCCCACTCGCACTGACCCTCGTTGGCGTCGGCGGCCGCCTTCGGAGTTCCCGTCCTTTCCCCGATCACTTTCAGCCGCTCCTTCTCCTTGAGCTCCTGCTGGCGCTTCACTTCGTCGGCCGCTTTCCGGCGCAACAGTTGCTGCAATCAATCGGCATTTCAGTCATGGTTTTGCCGCCACAGCACTCACCCGCAGTCGCTTCTTCCTTTCCGGAGTCATGAAGCCCTTCTTCTTCGTGGACTTCATCTGCGCCTCCAATCGCTGTCGGATTTCCGCCTTCTTGCGCTCCTTGTCCTCGAACTTGGCTCTCGCGTCGTCTGACTATTGATTCGCACAACAATTAACACAAAAGTCGGGAAAAGCGGAGAAAAACAAACCATTTTCCGATTCAAAGATTGTTTTCTTCTCAAAACGAATCCAAAAGTGAAATGAATTCAGAATTTGTGATAATTTTGGACCAAAAATGCGCTAAAAATAGACTTTGAATCCAAACTTCATATTTAGGTATTGAACGCGAAAATGACGTCATTTTATAAATAGATTCAAATCTCTCGCTCTCAGAGAAGTGTCGATGCATTGCGAGTCACGTGTGTTTTGCTCTCATTTCCGAATGAATGGCTTTTTGGCGACAAATGATAACGAAATCTATTTTTGTCGCGAAAACAATGCTTTGAATTAAACGCACGAAAGCTTGAAAATGTCGCAAACTTTGGATCCCTTTTTAGCAACTCTTCGCTGCGACGATTCGAAACCCATTCTATTCCCGAAACAGAACTCCAGTTCCGACTCGGGATTCATCGGAAGTCAATCCCCGCTTTCGGTCGAGTATTGCGTGCGTTTGGAACCGAATTCCGACTCAATTGTCGTCACGAAGACCGAGAACTTCGACCACAAGACCAACAAAAGAGTCACTTTCGGCGAAACGGAGGTCGATATCAACGAAGAAATGCTGCGAAGAAGACAGGAATGCGAACAATGGGCGGAAGAGGAGGAGGAATGCGACGACGAGGAGGAAGAGGAGGAAGGGGTGGTGATAGCGTTGACGCCGACTTCCCTCTTCGTCATTCTCAGCGTTTCGGTAACCATTGAGCGCTTCCACTCATGACCACCACTAACGCTCTCTTCCTCCGCAGCTGTTGTCCACTCTATTCACTCTTTTGGTCCTCAAATTGTCGCTCAAAAGCGGCGGAACCGCAGTTTGAGTGTCGAGTGGCGCCATCTGTGATGACTGCACTGCAAACACGCTGCTACGGTCGACTCGCGTTTCGCACAGCACTCATTATAGCGGGAGTGGAGCGTATCGTGTGCTCTCGTTCCGGAGTTCAAGGTCTCATAGCTCTGAGCGCTGTTTTGAAGATCAATGAACACAACGTTTAGAAGTCTTCCGGAAATGCATTTTAATTACTATTTTGAGGAAGAAATCGGAATTCATTCACAAAAATGTTTTTCTTTATTCAAAGCACAGAAAAAACATTAAAAACAGACAAAAAACACATTATTTACACGTATTTCAGACGAAAACAATAATTTAATATAAATATCAGTAAATCTTCTCTCTATCGACGGCGTCTGCGCAGAAACACGGGTCGGCCGAAGCCGGCCATCGGCGCGAATCCGGGAGGCAAACCCGCGAACGGCATCGACGCCAGAGGGGAGGCCTGGCCCGCAGCGGCGCCCGCTCCGATGGCGCCCTGGATGGCCGCGTCCACCAGCGAGTCCACGCCCGAGGCAGCGCCGGCCGCCGCACCCGCCGATTGGGGCGCGAGTCCAAAGGCACTCGACATGCGCTCGAGCAGAGGTCCGCCGTATTGGTAGGCGAGGCGCAGAACTGTGGGAATGGCTGTCATGACGAGCGGCGTGCGGTTGTTGCGGAAGCGGTGATACATGTTGCCGAGGAAGGTGCGCACGGGGTAGCGCTTGGCCGGCGCCCTTGTGGTGGAAGTGGTCTTCTCGGCCGCGACCAACACTTCGGCGAAGAGCAGCGAAAACGTGACGAAAAGTGCGAACAGTTTTGCAAACATTTTGGAAATGAATTTTTTTCTCAATTTTTTGCATTCAAAGAAGAAATGGAATTCAAAACTGGTTTTCGCAGCGATTTTCCGCCCAATTGGAGACCGACGGGGAGTGGCCGGCATTGTGGGTCACGTGAGTGGCGGAACCTGTCAGAACACAGCTGTGGCGCGCGGTTCCGCCACTTTCAAAGTTTGTGTCTATTTTTGTGACCTTTTTATGCAAAACGAGAAAAAGAAAACATTTTCTCTCTTCACGTGTCAATAATCGCGAAGAAGAAGAAGAAAATGGCGGC